ACAACCACCTGAAAAATAGATACACTGTATGCAAACAAAATTAAGAATTTGTGTGTAACAAAGGATATGGTCAAGAAAGCCAAAAGCCACCTACAAAATGGGAGAAAATACTTGGAAATCATATATATGATAATGTTTTCATGTGCATAATATATAAAGAACTGGTGGAACTCGGAGAAACATCTATATTTTTAGCCCTTTGGTAGGCTGGGGCAGGAGGAGCTCAAGTTAAAAGCCAGCCTATGAAACTTAGTGAGACTGTTTCAAAATTTAGAAAGGGCTGGCAATATAGCTCAGTGCAAAAGCTCTAGGTTCAATGTCCAGTACCACCAAATAAAAGTATAAAAGAAAATGTACAAAACACATCCATTGTGGCCGAGTCTGGTGGCGCATGCCTGTACTGGCCTTCTCACCAGCACTTTGGAGGCAGATACAGGAGAGCTGGCACAAATTTCAGGCCATCCTAAACTGTATTCTGAAACTCTGTCTCAAAAAGAATAAAAGAAAATCCTCCCTCTTCAAATACTCATCATCCACGCAATGTAGATCCTTTGATCCAAGGATCTAGAGACAGGGAAGGACTAAGGTGGAAAGAGATCAAGTGACTGTGGGCAGTTCCACCTGTGGGGTAAGGTTTCAGGGACACCTTCAATCTCTGTGTGCATGGACTGACCTGCAGATTAGGACTGCCTACGTCCTCCCTAGATGGCCTCTCCCAATCTCCTGACTCCACTGCAGGCACCCAACCCCCACCACCACCATATGAGTGATGGCAGACGTGTGCAGGCTGCATAAATACCCCTGACAGGCCAAGGTCCTCAGACACACAGGAAGGAATAGGTGGGACACGGGAGGTCCCTGCCAGGAATGGAAATCAGGCTTCATCTCCACATCACCATGATTCTTCTAAATGAAGTTGGACCCTGTCCCTGGGAGAACTTGTAGGTCGACCCTAGGTGCGTCCACAGCAGCCTTACCAAGGCCCACGGACACAGGGCTTAGTGAGAGAGAGCCTTTAGGGAAAGCATCTCATAACCATTGTCCCCTGTGGCCACACAGGGACTGCTGGGCCCTGGCAGTCCAGCCACTGTGCCAAGAGCCTTCCCTTTCACAGTGATGTGCATGCTGGAATTGGTCCTGCGCCACCAGTCCATGCCAGCACCACCTCCAGGGAGCTTCCTCTCTGGGTCCCTGGCTACTGACCCAAAGGCTTCACCCTGGAGCCTTATTGAGGACTGGGGCTGGGCAGCTGGGAAGGCCTCTGCGAAAGCCAGAACCACAGAAGCTTAGAAAAGAGCATTGCTAGATTTCCCGTTATAGGTAACCTGCATCTTTTCTCTGGCTGCTTTTAATATTCTGTTTTTTTGGTGGATTTCTGGGATCTCGATTATTATATGTCTAGGCGTAGATCTGTTTTGGTTGTAGGTAGCTGGCATTCTGTATGCTTCTTTTATCTGGATAATAACAGCAGACTTATCAACACAAACTCTTAAGTCAAGAAGGGAGTGGGGAGAAATATTCCAAGTCCTGAAGGAAAAAAATATGCAACCGAAGTTCATATATCCGTCAAAACTCTTTCTAAAAATTAATGAAGAAATAAGATACTTTCAAGACAAGGAGGAACTGTGGGAGTTCGTGGCCACCAATCCAACCCTACAGAGAGCGCTGAAGGACATTACAGAGAAAGAGAGGAAGAGATATCAGGATTCCAGCAACAGTGGCAGAGAGGCCTCAGTGAACGGGGCAGACAATGGAATGAGGGAATAAGGTGGACAAATTATAGCAGAAAAGTGGAGTAGCAGACATGAGGCAGAGACGGTAAGCTAGTCTTTAGTAGAGACAGCTCTGAAACTATATTTAAAAAAAAAAGCAGAGGTCATTGCTAATGGTGTATAACGATTTAAAAGACACAGTAGTCCTAGTGCCATATTTAGATTGAATTAAATTTGTTCTGATCTGTCCACTCATGTCAGATTTGAGGACACAGACCTCTAGAACCAAAAATAGCAGGTTATACCATGGTAACTATCCTTACTTTCCTATTGACTTAGGCTGAAATCCTGTATTACTTACATTGTCTTACTATGACTGATCTTAATTGTATCTGAATCATAAGACTATTGGTTGGCCTTGACTGATCCTATTTGAAATTGGTATGCGTGTTAGAATCAACCCTAAAAGTAGAGGAAACTACTCTGAGCATGACAAGATGTAAAGGATATCCATACTGGTATGAATCAGTAACAGCTCTCAAATACTACAATGCAGTCAAAGTTAAGTTTTTATAAAAATAGGTGATAGTATGTTTAACTATAATAAGCCAGTGTTGTGGACAAATCTATTGAAAATAACAAGAGAAAACATAGTAGCTATGGAAGATCATTTATATTATAGTTTTATATGTCTTATCCATTGCATGTTTTTCTAGGAAATTGTTTTGCTGACTTGTTATGACTTGGTTTTCCCTATAATACAGAGAGGATAGGAACAAATACTCTGAGGAAGAGACCTGAAAAACCCGAGGCTTATTTTGTAGCATTATAATATAAATTCTAGCAATCTATTGTTTGCTGATTAGAATGACATTGGACTGGTTTCTTCAGTTCAACTTCAGCATATGCAGAGATGGGGACGGCTATCACAAAGAGAATGAGAGATGCGAAGGTAGTTGCAATTGTCTTCCCTAATTTGGAACTTGAGGACCTAAAAAGACTTCATCATCCTGTAATGATTTGATTAGTTCTATAATATGCAATAAGTATATAAAGTGGGTGAAGTTAGGGACAACTATTTGTAAGAAGCTAGAGACAGTTAGATAAGGAAGATCTCCAGTGGACTTGCTATGAAATCTGTATTTCTTTAAATTGTTTTTTATCTTTTTTAAATGTTCTGTTCTGTTTTGATATGGTTAACCTTACCCTCTTTGAGATGTAAAACAAATAGGTGGGACTGATAATCATATTACGGAGCTTTTGTTCGATCATAGAGCAGAATGGTTTGTAGGGTCACTTTTTTGAATATCATTCTAAATACTCTAATTCTATAACCTGAACAGCTATTTCGAAGATGACAATTTGTAACTTATCAACCGGCAATTTCTTACCTTTTGTTTGTCTGTAATTTTGTATTATTTCTACCCCCTTTTTTTTATCTCCATGTATTTTTTTTTCTTTCTCGTTTCCTTTTCTTTAAATAAAAAAAAAAAGAAAAGAAAAGAAAAGAAAAGAGCATTGCGCCCTCTAGCGATCACATCCTTCCAGAGACACAAAGGGGTCAGGGAGGGGAGAGGTGAAGCTGAGCTTGGATAAAGGCAGGTGCAGAGGATGCAAGTGAGATGCAAGTGAGGGCGAGGGGGCTGAGTTAGATGGATGATGGGAGGGATTCGAAACAGCAGGTGAGAGGAAGAATTAGATAAGCCGGGAAAGGGTGCAGAGCAGGTGCAATTTCCACTGACATTTGGGGCTGCTCATCTTTGTGGAGTTACCTGCACCTTGTGGAGTGTTTAGCAACATCTTTGGATTCTACCCAGTAAGTGCCAGGAGCATACTCCCCTCAGGTGTGACAATCACAAGGATCTTGAGACACTGCCAAATGCCTCGGGAGGGCAAAACCCAGCTTGGCTCAGAATCACTGATGTTCCGCATCCTGATAGGGTGGGGGACAACTACCTGACACCAGGAATTCCAGACCAGAAGAATAGCATGACCTCAGAACTTTATGAATCAATAGATCATACTATGAATTGCAACAAAAATGTGACTCAGAGGACTTTACGGCTCTTATACAGAAAAACAAAATTAGATATTCACTCCCCGTTGAACTTACTACAGTAATAACATGACATGGAACTTGCATAAAGATTCATGTATATATCAAAGAGCTGGAACTGAATGTGTAGAATAAGCCCTGACAATGTTGGTCATATGATCTCTGGCAAGTGCATCAAAATAGCTTAATAGGGTAAGTAAAGTCTTTTAGAATCTAGAGAGAGCCAGTTCCCACTATTTTAAGCCTAGTCAGCATTCCTGCAGCTGGCCCTGACATCAACCACAAGTCCCTTCATCGTCTCCAGGGGGTGACATCAGGATACACTCAACACTCATGAAAACAGTTCCTGAAAAGTGAATCTAGCTCAGGCTTGGCAGCTGATGCAGCCTGATTGCCATCCCTGGCCCCAAGGGATACTTCTGAGTCCCTCTCTCATGCCTACTTTGTCCCAACCACTCCTTACCGGAGCTCTGAGGATCCTTCCCAGCCAGGGTTCTCTGCTTGGTGCACTCTCTTCTGGCATCACCATAGGGTAAGAGAATGAGTGACCACAGGAGAATCAGTAGGGCAGAGGACAGAGGCCAAGCAACTCCATCAGGGAGGACATGGGTCACACCTCAGCAGAAATTGTAGAGAGGAGGCTGTTCCAGAAATCTGCCACCAAGGCATTTGTTGTCCACAGCCACTTACCTCCCCCACCACCTCCTTCCTCCCCAGGACATTTGGGTCATTTCCATCCCTGCCCACCCAGGGATTCATCTCCTCCTAAAACATCTGATCAGAGACTAACTGGGGACGCCAGAGACACAGGGTAAGTCCCCCCCCCCACTCATCACTTAACTTGTCCCTTCCTTGTCTATCACCTAGAGTCATCTATGTCATCTTCCTCCTAAAAGTAAATTTTACCTCCCCAGAGCACACATAAACAGACTGTGTACCCAGCTGGATTTTTTGTCCCAAAGGGAAGCACGGCCCTGGATTTAGGAACCCCAGGATCTCTCTGCGTTGTGGGCAGCCCCAAGGCCAGGACAGTGCAGAGGGTGACCTACTTCTCCCTCTTAGGTGAGAGTCACCAACAGCATTGTCCTTGAAGTATGCTCTGCAGTACAGAAACATACCACAGAGAAGTGGAACAGACAGGGAAGACAGGACTCAAAGGGTAGGAGAGAGCCAGGTTTCCCTAGACACAGACTCCACCCCCAAGTCACATGATCCTGGGGTGTGCCCTTGCCCTGGGAGGAGGCTCAGCTCAGACAGAGACAGCACAGCAGAGCTGACCCTCTCTAGCCGCCTGCTTGGGAGCCTGTGTGGAGCTGAAGCTCTTCTCTACAGAGGACAGAGCAGGCAGCACAGACCATGGCACCCCGCACAGCCACTTCCCACAGAGGATTTGTTCCCTGGCAGGGGCTCCTACTTACAGGTGAGAGGGGACAGTCATGGGAGGAGAAATACATAGACTGGCCGGGTTCCCTGAGGAAGACAGAACTTGGAGTGGACAGAGGTTTCTGTTTGGAACAGGAAGGGAGAGGACACAAAAGAGAAACGGAAGCCTGAGTAACAGGAACCTTTCAGCGGTTGGAAACTAAAAAAGGAGGAGGAAAAGTTGCATTTTTCTGTTATAAGTTAATCATTGGTCACCATATTTTTTCTTTCCTTCTGTTTTATTTTATTTTATTTTATTTTAAGACAGTGTCTTGCTATGTATCCTAGGATGACCTTGAACCTGTCTTAGTCTCCCAAATGCTGGCACTAAGAACATCTGCCACAACACCTGTCAGGTCACTATCTTTTTAATATTGATGTTAACAATAACATCAGGGTGATTTCAAAGAAAATCACACCTGGGGTATGAAGGGTTGTACTTACCCATCCCTACCAGAAACTGCAAACAAACCCCTGGGGCACACAGGGCTCTCAGAGCATCACTTGTTCATTCACAGGTATCTGAGGCTATTCCAGAGCTTGGGCTCCCACAGAATCACAGAGCTCTTGTCCTAGAAGGAGGAAAAATGATCAGCAAGGACATATAGAAAGGGAAGTCAGGTCTTCACAAGAGGTACAGAGAGAAAAAAGCAGGAAAAGACAAGGAATTAAAAAACTAGGTCTCTGTGACAGGTCAGTGAAGGCTACCCTGAATGTGAGCGGGACTTGAGGGCTGGGCTGTGAGTGGTGAGTCATGCAGACCCCTGGGGCACAGTGCTCCAAACAGGGAATGACAAGTTCAGGGGCAAGGAAGGAGTGAAGTCCCACTGCTGACCTCAGCCTAGTAAGAGACACATACATGCTTGCAGCAGTCACACTAAGCAATGAAAACATCTCAGGACTCAGGGCTCCATCTCTCCATCCAACGGAGTTTCCAGTATTGATGATTTTTTCTCTGTCTGTCTCTTCTAGTCTCTCTTTTGACCTTCTGGAGCCCACTCCACAATGCCCAAATGACTATTAAATCGGTGCCTTTTGATGCTGTTGAAGGGGCAGATGTTCTTCTACTTGTCCACAATTTGCCAGAGAACATTATAGGTTATAGGTGGTACAAAAGGGAAAAGGTTGATTCCAACAGTCACATTGCAGCATATTTGGTATCCACTAATGTCACTAGACCAGGGCCTGCATACAGTCATCGAGAGACTATATATCCCAATGGCTCCCTGCTGATCCAGAAGGTCACCCAACAGGACACAGGATTCTACACCCTACAAGCCATAAAGTCTACTTTGCAGAATGAAGAAGCATCTGGACAGTTCCATGTACACCGTGAGTTATTCTCAATGACCTGTGGGTGTGGGATGGGATGGTGCCCCCACTCTGCCACATTACATCCCCATGTTGAGCTTTGATCCCATAGTGCAGAACACATACAGTGGAGATTACCTTCAATGGAGTGGAATCCTCTACCTGAATCCACCCAGCAGAAGGAAGGAGAGTTGGATGGAGTAACTTGAGGGACAGAAAGATCCTCTCAATCCAGCCTACCATCTCCTTACTATATACATGACCCTGAGAGGGACTCTGAGGAAGGTGGTTAGGGTATGACCTGAGGGGACTCTTCAGTCCCCTGCCCAAGCTCCTCATGCTCAGTGGTACTGGAGAGCAAGTGCTCAGGGTGAGACTTGGATCCACTGTATAGGGATGATGGGGAGCAATAACTCACTGGCTGTCTGAATCTCATACTTTCCTAGGGCTGGTCCCTAGCACAGCCAGTGCACAACCCCAAGAGACACATCTCAGTAAGGTCACCTGGGAAATTCTCTCTCCTGCCATGTGGCATAGATAGCACAGATGAACAGGTGCCTTAGGCCATAGCTAAGTTGACTGACTCAGAGAATCCACAGGAAACTCAGTGTGTCCAAGGTGAAGAACAGAAGAGTATTAGACTCCTGGAAGTTCCCTGTTCACTGGGAACTGTTCCAATTTATTCTGTGTGGAGGCAAGTAACATATGCTGCTCATTTAGGCAACTACTCTATGCCAAGGGCAGGTAACTGTGAGTATTTCAGATTAATTTACCAACAAGATATCAAACCAGATACTATTTCCCAGGTATCCTAGAATGGGGAGACAAAGGCACAAAAAAAATACAAATCTGCCTCTGACCCCCGGTCCAAAGCCCCAGGCTTGTTCTACCCATCTGACTCCGGATGCCATCCTACTCCCCCTGTGGGGCTCACATCCCTTCAGAGTTCTCCCAGCATCTCCTGCAGAGGATGCTATACTGACAAGCACTATTTGAAGGGTTTGATGCCTGGGTCACTCACACGGGTTTCCCCATGAAGACACCATCATCACAGGCGGTTACTGTAGCCTGGTGAGATGCATCGGCCATCGGCATTTTAGTTAGTCTCTGTCTAATCTGGAAGAATTTAATAAAACTTTAATGGTGATTCCTGGGGTCAACAGAAAAGACACAAAGATTTTACATGCCTAGTTGGGCTCCTGACTACTTTGACTCATTTTCAGATGCAACTGGGAATTTAGACTGCTAATATTACTAATAAGTGTCACTTCTGGGAAGTTGCTATCCCTCATTTTATACTAAGGATGTCTCAGACTTGCCCTCTGACTAGGTCTGTCCACCCAACAAGGCTCACAGGACTCCTCATCAGGGAGTGGCTAATTTCAAACTGACTTCAGGAAACATGTTTGATTCAAATGTGATCCACAAAGTCTTCAGAGCTTGGTCTAAGATCCTTTGGTTCTCTTAGAGAAATATTTTGTTCAGTAATTGGACTTAGATCTAAGGATAGAAATGAAAAATTTCCCAGCTTTAACATCTAAAATTGCTGTCTAAAGCTTTAACATCTAAAATTGCTGTCCAAATCTTTCAATGCCCATAAGGCTCCTGAGGGCCAGATTCTCAAAAAGCCCACAGGGTCCTCATTTTCACCTACATTGGGAAGAGGGACATTAAACACCAAGAACAAGAAGCTGATTCAGCTGGGCTGAATGCCAGGCTTGGTGTTGCTCCCCTTTGTGTGATTTCTGCACACAAACATACTCAGTCCAGGCTGTGGGGTTTAAGCTAAATGGCAGGTCCCATCATGACCCAACTCAAGCACAGTCTTGCAAAACAAAGCCCCAGATGAAACACCCCAGGCTGAGTAGCAGAGGTCTCTGCAGCTAAAGGGTCTCAGCACACACATGACCCAAGGTAAACCGGTCTCACTGGCTGGCAGTGAGGACAGGAGAGGCACTAGGGGTCTGTCCATGACCAAACACTGCAGCTTGGTTCCCACGTGAAAAGGCCTGTGTGCTTCTCAGACAAAATGTAGGTGGCCTTAATGTCCTCTGAGTTCTCAGGTCCTCATGCACCTGCCTGTGAGATGCACTTTTGTCCAGTCCTTTAAGGACACAAGTTGCCTGAGAGGTGAGAGAGCTCCACTCTGGTGGAAAATGCCTTTGCCCACATCAAAGTACCACACAAGGCGATCTTCTGTTTTTCTGCATAGTGATCTTACCCAAACCCTACATTACAGTCATCACCTCCAACCCTGTGGAGGGTGAGGAAGCCGTAGCACTGACATGTGAACCCAAGACTCAGGACACAACCTACCTGTGGTGGATAAATGGCCAGAGCCTTCAAGAAGGTGATAGGCTGAAACTGTCTGATGGCATTACTTTATTCACTGTCACAAGGAATGACACAGGATCCTATGAGTGTAAAACCCATAATGCAGTGCCTTCCACCTGAAGTGACCTACTCATCCTGAACATTTCATGTGCGTAACTCATATTCTGCTGTGGTCCCTGCTAACCACCCAGCAGGCAGGGCCAGAGGCAGAGGCCAGCCCACTCAGTTTCTCTCTCAAGTCTACAAAACAGGCATCACCTGTGGACAGGTGGGCTGGCCATACCATCCCGACCTTGCCATCCAGGCTGGCCTGACCTTCAGCCCAGAACAGGAGGACAGGGGCATCTCCTGTCTGTAGAGATTCACTTTACCACCTGATATGTAAAAACAGGGGGATGACTCAGGCTCAACCCGCACAGAGGGATACGACCGGGACTTTTTTCTGTGTACGTAGTACTGGGGATGGAACCAGAGCCTGATGCACCCTAGGCAGGTGCTCTGTCACTGAGCTGTGCCTTCTCATCTGGTTGGCACTGTTTAAAACCAAGGTTGTGCTGTGTCTCCCAAGGATAATCAGCCTTCTACAAGCCAGGAGCTCCCTCTTCCCTCTGATGAAGTCACATGTGGTTTTATTCTGTTTCCTACAGATGGCCCAGATGGCCCCATCATATTGCCCCAAGTCACATTTCCATCCAGGGACAAACCTCAACCTGTCCTTCCATGCAGCCTCTAACCCACCTGCACCGTACTCTTGGCTTGCAATCCACAAAGGAGCTTTCTACTCCAAACATCTCGGCAAATGCTAGTGGATCTTACACTTGTCTCATCTCTAACCCTGCCACTGGCCTCAGTAGGAGCACAGTCAAGGATATTACAGTCACTGGCCTGGAGTGACAGTACCAAGCTCTGGAGCAGTGTTTTGGTTGGAAATGGCGGGAAAGAAGTCACTTCCTAGCCTGTATCTGCAGACACAAGCAAATCTGCATCCTCCTTTGAGAATTCTTCCCCATCTCCAAAAATGTCCTCCTTGCTTCCCTGAGTACTCATGGCTGAGCTGGAGTTCAGCCTGGAATGTGGAGAGATGGTTCTCTTCTTCCAAGAAAGACCCATGGAATGGGCAGAGATTTACAAAATTGTTGGGGTCCTTGAGGTCAAGTAGCTTCTTTCAATTACTAACTCCCTCCTTCTGTCATCTCTGCTTTCTTTAACCTCTTCCATGAGCTATAAGGAACCCACAGGGCTTGGAAACACCTTTGCACTGTTTTTTCTCCAATGAGAGGAAGAAATCCCTCTTGGACAGGGAACAGTGGCTCAGAGCTCTGCTCCAGCTCTGTTCCAGACTCACCCACAGACTGGCTCTGCCCTGACCCTCTCTGGGGTGGGACAGGACAGGTGGAAAAGAGATCTGGGTGGCCTGTCCTCAGTCTGTTAAGTAATGTCCCCAGTGGGCATCTGAGCCTCCCAGGCATGCAAGGAAATGAAAAAGTGCACCTTGGGGCAGTTGCCTCTGAGCTGGGTCCTGCCTCTGAAGTCCCAGTTGTCTGATGCTGAGGACACAACTGCAGGTGGTACACCATGGAGAGCAGTGAGTGCCACATACATGGAGACATGGGAGCATCACTGAGCAGTCCTGCATTCAGGGAAGGACAGGGCCAAACTGCTATATTTGCACAGAATGATGCCATCCTTTTGGGAACACTGTGACCATTTATCTCTGCTGATTTCCTTCACTGTGGTATTTAATACACAGGTCAGGGAATAAAAGTCTGTTTCCAACTAGAATATGCTTTACCCTAGAAGGGCATCACTTTTTTCTGTCATGGAAAGCACTGGCAAAATATTGTACAAAAATCAGTAGGAGACTATGGTGGCTTTCCCTCACAATAGCATACTATGCCTTTTCCAGGGTGGTCTTTTGTCTTGATTTTTGCTCTTTTGCTCAGCCAAAACTTCCTCAGCAAAGAGTGCCACACACACACACACACACACACACACACACACTTCACATTTATTTTCTCAAATTAAAAAAAAATGGTCAATGGGAAAAATTCTCAGCCTTCCATTGAGATTTCTGGAAAGGTGGACTGAGCACAGGTTCCTAAAATGGATCCTTCAGAGAGGTCCAGGGAAGCTGATGGGCCTCCCTGCGTGCACTGGGTTCAGAGGGAGGGATAGCTTGCTCCTTACTGTCACCTGAACCAAGGCAAGCAACCTCCATGGAGAGGGAGAGCTGTCCTCTGAGCCACCTCACAGCACTCACAGTGACCCAGAGACTTGTCTGAATATCCAAGGAAAGGACACAGCTAGGCCCCAGCCCATGCTCAGTCAGTTCCCTCCTCTGTCCGCAGAGCTAGTGTCACCACCCTCCATCTCTGCCAGCAACATGACAGTTGCAGAAAATGGTTCTGTGGTCTTGACCTGCCTCTCAGATGACACTGGCATCTCCTTCAAGTGGATCTTCGAAAACCGGAGTCTGCAGCCCTCAGAGAGGATGAATCTCTCCCAGGACGGCAGCATCCTCACCATCGACCCTGTTAAGAGAGAAGATGTTGGGGAGTATCAGTGTGAGGCCTCCAACCCAGTCAGTTCCAGCAGGAGTGACCCCCTCAGGCTGGCCATGATCTGTGAGTGCCCCTCAATATCTCGTACTGTTTCCCTGATACATTTTATAGGCAGTGTCATCAAATGATACAAGCAATTAGAATGGGGTATGTCTTGTTTACTTGTCTCTCATTTCTGAGACAGAACACCTGATACCCAAAATGAAGAAAGGAAAGGTTTATTTAGTTCACAGTTTGTGGAGGTTTCAATCCATAATCAGCTGGCTCCAATTCAGGGTGGTGTGGCACTGGGGTAACACTTTAAGGCAGCAGCCAGCAAAAGCAAGCAGAGCAAAAATGAGGAAGAACATGCCTCTTTTCCTCCCTTATATTGTACACAAGCCAATCCCAGCTCCAGAGCAGGTGTAGCACTCACAATATCTCCTTAACCTCCTCTTACACAGGATGAGGATGTTTACAAATTATGGATCCTGGCTACTTGCCAAGTCTCTCAGTTAAACTTATAAACTGCTCCAGTTCTTACAAGGTATCAAACATAACAGGATAGATGCTTTAGAACCTGGAAAGCATGTGATAGGGATGTGGAAATTAGATAACCTTGTCATTATCATTCTTCTGGTCTGTATCAGGTGTTTCCCTCAGTGATCTCATCGGTTAAATTATAACAAAAAGCCTAGATCTTAACTTTATTGTGTGGATGCTTATTGGGTTCAGGAGACTGAAGCCATCAGCACAGGGTCCTGGACAGAATCAAGGCTCAATTTACGCTATAACAACTAATATTATTTTGATGAGCTTTCTTAATACCTGAGCAATCAAGAATGGGGTTAGCATTTCATTGTATCACCTCCAGCTTCTTTGATGCTAATTAGCTCACTGAAGAATTGATCCATCAGGTTCCAAGTCTGCACCATGCGGTGACAGCCTCTTGTCTTGGGAATGGAGACATCAGAGGAGATATAAGTAAGGAATTTCCAACCTGGCCCATAGAAGGCCCTGAATTCTGTCATGCACTATCACTATTATTAATCAGTCATGCACCAGCTGTGTAGGGTTGGGCCTCTAAGACTGTCATGTGATGGGAAAAGAGACGGAGAGGTAGAATTGAAGAACATGAGAAGGATGAAGTGCAGACTCTGGGTGGGAGAGTGTAAAGGTTAGAGAACTTCAGGATTTCAAAACAGAAAATGAGGCAACAGCTACAGAGTCTGAACTTGGTGATAATCATCCCTGCACCCACTGGGAAGAGCCAGCCCTCTAAGACAGTCATGTTATGGAGAAAAGAAACAGAGGTGGAGGCATTAAAAACATGAGAACAACAAACTATAGATTGGGTGGGAGAGTGTAAGGTTAGAAAACTTTAAGGTTTCAAAACAGAAAAGGAGGCAACAGCCACAGAGTCCTGAGGACTTGGCGATTACACAACAAACCACAAAGGGATCTGAGTGTCGTATTTGACAACCCTCACAGGCCCTACCGTACACAGCACTCTCCTCCTGGTAGCACACTTGATCCTTCACTCCCTTTCTCTTTTCCTTTCAGCAGAAGGAAAGATCCTGGGTGCCCCTGCAGGTGCCTTTGCTGGTATAGTGTCTGGGGTGCTTGTGGTGGTAGCTCTTGCTGTTGCCCTGGGGTGTTTCCTGCTCCTCAAAAGGATTAGAAGGTACCGAGATCGCTCCCCATCTCATCCCACCCCCAGGCTAACCCAGGACATGAGGAAGGAGACCCCTCCTCTAGTTTTGGCTCTCAGGTTCCTGGCTTCCCAGGAACCATTCCCTCTCTATCCACCTGGCTCCTTCCTCCCCAGCTCTGACCCTGGCTACTTGCTTAACAGTTTCTCCATTTCTAACGTCAGCAAATCTGGGGTTGTGGCTCTTCTCTGTGCTGTGGTTCCCATACAGCAACCCTACAGCCTGTTTGAGAGGTGGTCAGTGCTCAGAACCTGGCACCTCCTCTAGGTTACTTGGTTATCCCACCCAGGAAAGGGTCACAGCTCAGTGTCTGAGGCTGGTCATGGCCAAAGTCATATAGGATGAGTGAAGGATCCTGGACAGGCGATGTGAGGGTCACTGAGCCAAGTATATGAGATGGGAGTGCTGGACCTTAGAGGATCAGCATGCTCTGGAGTGTCCTTGAAGACTCCTGCCAGGTAGATAGAGAGAGGACAAGACCACTGTCCCATTTCAACACCTCCTAGCCAGAGCACAGGCTGTGTCCACAGCAAGGATATTGAAGCTGAAGAGAATCAAGATGACTGTTACTCTCTGGAGAAACCCAGTGCACTCTGCTTTCCTCCCAGGGCCTGGGCCCTTCAATTCAGGGAATTACACAGAACCCTATGAGTATGAAACCCAGAATGCAGTGACTTCCACCTGAAGTGACCAACTTGATTCCTTTTCTGCACGCTGAATTGCTTTCCTAGGTCCCTGGATAGAGGTTTTCTTTGGCCTGCCTCTGCCTGAGAGGCCTCCATTCTGGCCCAAAGCAGGCCAGAGGAGTCAAAAGCCTTTGCTCAGCCTTCCCTCTTCTGGGTTTCCCACCTGTCATAGAACAAATGGAGAAAGGAGTCTCCACTCTCAATTTAGAAAATAGGGCCACTCCATGACCTATATTTGACCCTAAAGCTGTGGCCTCTCCCTGCATTCTCATGTGTAAGTCTGACCTTTCCTAGGCCCAGCATGCAGCATGACCTCGGAGAGCACTGGCAACCTGTGTCAACCTCCAGTGAGTGTACCGTCTTGTGGGTATGGCTGGAAACCCGCAAGTTCATCCCATAGAGACCACTTCTGCAGTCACCTCTACTTTAGTCAGATCCTTTCCCTGGAGATTCTAGGCTTCTCATTAAATGATCAACATATTGAGGCTTCAAGGGAAGTAGACAATGAGAGGATGAAGAAAAAATAAAGATAGAGATGGGACTCTGGGGCCAGGTGGGGCCCTTCCTCCTAATATGAGGAAGAGATCGCTCAACCACTGCAATGCATTTATTTATACACTTGTTCTACAAGGCCCCTTTATTGACTAGCTCACTTCTGATTCCCTGTGTCCTTGGAGCCGTAACACCTGTTCCTCTCCAGCCATGCCTTCAGGGCCTTTCTCAGGCACAGGGAGACATTAGGGGACTCCTGCTCAGGCACTTGCGCTTAGGACTCCACACGTATGAATGATCACGAGCTCAGCGGCTTCCAACATCAGCATAGAAGCTCTCAGGTATAAATTCAGCCAGACAATGGTTTCTTGAGCTGTGGATATCTCTTCACCTCTTCCATTGCTCACTTGTTCCAAAACATCTTAAGGGTTTTGTCTTGGAACTCACTCTGATGCCCTGAGAACTGAAGATCCCCAATCCTCCTGTGGGGAGGATTGATAAGTGAGACAGGTAAGAGTGTTGGAAGAGCAGCAGGAAATGGGAGCACGGAACCCGCAAAGAGGGCCACAAATGGCCAAGCTTAGCCACGCTAAGAGTCTGGAATGTCAGAGTCTGGCATCCTAGGTTGACACTCCCTTGGGCATAAGAAGCAGTTTCTGTGGGAAACTGTGGGAAACTCCTGGCACCCTTCTAATAACCCCTGTCTATGTTTCAGGCCCCGATTTTTGCAACAGTTTCACAAGCCAGGTAGGTCTGTCCCCTCACCCGTCACACAGGGGTCCATGCAGACTCAGGGCAGGGGCTGTGTCAATTCTAGCAGAGCACAGAGCAGCCTCTCCCAATGGTCAGGACAAGGTCAGCCCAACCCTGGAAAGAAGTGGAGTCATCTTCACTGGAAGGAACATCCTCAGCCTCTCCAGAGGTTACCCTGGGTACCTTCATTGCTCAGAGGAGATCCTGGAGTGTGACAAGAGCATTGTTAGGGTTGGGGGCACCAGTGGGTGGTCCTAGTTTATAAGGCTGAAAACATGCAGAACAGGGATAGTGTCACCTCAGGTGGGACTGAGATGCTTGCTTCTGAGGGGAAATGGGTAGCGCAGATACAGGGGTGAAAGCTCTGGCCTCTAAGACACCAAAACATCTCAGGCTGAGTCCAGCACCTGCTCACTTCTTCCATAGCCTCTGTACCTTCCCCCCTGTCCTCTGACCTCAGTTCTCTCTCCCATAACAGGTCAACCTCCCTGATTCCAAGGAAACCGTTCCTATCTATGAGGTGAGTGTGGCTGATAAATGCTTTGCTCCCACAAAATCAGCAGTGCCCCAGGAATTGTCCCCACATGCAATCTAGCTGAGATTTTCAATCATTTTTGGAGGGAAAAAACAGTAACAATAGGGTCAAAGTTTGATGAACAGAGGGAGGGAGGAACCTTGGAACAGAAACCTACTGAGGATAGCCAGGTGTGGACACAGAGCAGCCCAGAGCCTACCCTGAGACCTGAGAGGCTCTGCTCTGTTCTAAGAAGGACCCAAAGCTCAGGGTTCTTCTTGCTTCTTTTCACAGGAATTACTAATCTCTGACATGAATGTTTACTGCGAGATCAACCACAGAGGAGATACAGCTTCATAATTTCCCACAGAAACTGCTTCTTATGCCCAAGGGAGTGTCAACCTAGGATGCCAGACTCTGACATTCCAGACTCTTAGCGTGGCTAAGCCTGGCCATTTGTGGCCCTCTTTGCTGGTTCCGTGCTCCAATTTCCTGCTGCTCTTCCAACACTCCTACTGCCTCACTTATCAAGAAAGTGCCTTGTGATTGATTAGGTGGGACCCACATGGATAAAACCAAGGATCTCTTGAACTGATATTTAATGAAACCTGTGAAGTGACCTTTACCATGGCACCCATACACAGATTCTATGGAGGACAGACATGACACTGAAGAGAATTTACTTTTCTCAAAGCCATTTTGTCGTTTCTTTCAAAAAATATAAATGCTGGCACCCGAATTCAGTTGACCAGACTCTGTCAGTTCCTGCAGTGGCACCCACAAGCACTCTCAAGCTCTCAAGAGAAGAAGATAGAGTGGAAGTGCACCATGCTCAGCACCTGCCCTCCTTCTCCCTGGTGATCCTTCTCAGCTGCTAGCACTGAGAGCTCACAACTCAGCAGCCCTTCAATAGGTCGTGGTTGCTCAGCACTGTGGACAGCACATCACAACCCCTGGTTCTTAGGTCCTGCAGCAGAGACTCAGATGAGAAGAGGCTGCAAGAAAGGTTTTCACTTTATTGCTTGAAAGAAAGGTGAAAAGCCCCTGAAAGGTGAGGACCTGGGCTACTCTGTCAGCTCCTCTAGCCAAGCCTCACTGCCACATCTTCCTCATTCCCATCTTCTTCCGTGCACTCTTTGAAGCAGTTCTACTCCTACATATCCAGCCCTGTCATTCCAGGGATTTATCTCCTGTGCATCCAGGTCTTTGAAGGCCACAAACTCAAAACACTCGCATCCCCAGAGTAAAGGCTACATATGTGCTCATGAATTCTCATGTATCTTGGATGTGTGTACATCTTTTGTACATCCATGTGAGCAGTAACACAGTTCCTCTGAGCCCTGTTGGAAACCACCATGCCTGTGCTGGGTCACCTTCATCACCCCTTCACACAGCCTCAGCCTCTGACAGCTGGCACTGAGCTCTCCAGAGTCCTTCAAGTTCTCACCACATGAACCTGTGACTCTCTCCTCAACAGCTGCTTGTGTTCTGGACCTGGAGTTTTTCAATTATGGCCCTGGGGCATCCAGCTCCATGCAAATTTTAAGACAATGGCAGTCACTCAGCATAATAACATCACTAAATGTGTCTGAACAGAGTCTCAGGTGAGAAGCTAGTGTCTCTATACATCTGAAGCTTCAGTGTGCAGGAGCACCCTATACGTCTTGTCCTTCCTTGGACATCAGAGGACACCACAGGCTGCCTCAGACCAACAGCCTGTGTCCAGACCCCAGCCTTAGATCCACACTGACCTTGTATAGGGAAATTCACTGCAGGAATGAAGGCACAAGAAAACCACTATGAAAGAATTGTTCAGTCCTATTTCTCACCATTTCCCTGACAGGAAAACACACAGAACACACTTCGTTTCACCACCCAGTCCCCAGTCCATCTTGGTCTGCTGCTCTCTCAGTATAGCAGAGCTAGGATGACCTTGTTGTTGTTTATGAAAGCAGGTCCCAGCCTCTGTGTTCCTGCCTGAGACTCCCTCACCTCCCTGCTCCAGAGGCCCAAATGGACCCATTTCCTTACTTCCCTGTCAAACTTCACAGCTGCCTGCTCTTCTGTGACTTCCGTGGTGAGTGACAGACCATCTGCTCACTGTCAGCCTGCAGTTTATCACAGGTTCTTCAGTAGTCACCTGTACTCAGGTCAGGGACTTGTGGAACAAGAACTTCTGGAGGAACAAGCACAATTTGTCCACGGAGGGAACTTCTTGGAGCAGCTCAGTGACTCTGGCTTCTGGTGTGGACAGAGGTATGGCCAAAAGCACCTACATCAAGAAGTGGCAGGTGGATGACTAAAGGAAGAAGAAGGACAACATGTGAGCAGAGCAATGGAAACATGGACCCACGCACTTTCTAAACAAAGATTTACTACTCCAAAGGAATGAGAATGTTGGCAACAGACCTTCTCATGGACTCCTCATGGGTCTGCATGGCAGCAGCCATAGCAGTTTTTTCCTTGGCAGTGTAAATGTGTACAGATTTTGATCAGTTTCCCTCTGTGAGCCTTACTAGGTTGGGAGCTGAGAGAAGGCAGGACTGTGCCTGCCCTGTCTCTGCCATTGTCAGTAACCTGCCCACAGCCTGTGGAGTTGTTTCATATGTGTGTTTAGCGGACAGCTCCTGGAGACTTCTTCCACACCAGGTGGAAGATAGGGACCTCCTTGTGGGAGGGCTTGATGGAAAGTAGAATGGGCCCTGATCCAGCTGCAGCGTGGAGAGAAGCATCACATATATCAAGCAACTGAATAATGGTGGACTCATAAAAAACCACAGTTAACCATGTCGAGGTGCTCTCCAAAGCACCTCCATGTCGAGGTGCTTTGAGAGAATGTTTCTCCAAATTAATATTGTTCAATGCCATTTGGGATTCACAACATCTGAGCAGGAAAAAATAGGAATCACTACTGAAATATTCATATCAAATGTATATTCTGATTATATAAGGGTGACCTGTCACCCTCATGCAGAGAGGATAAATCTCTGGTGGCACAGGCCACTGACATTGAAGCTGGTTGTTCAGTCTCAGCTCTACATGTTCATCCTGGGCATGACTGCAGAAGAAGCACAGATGGCATAAGAACCTGTTTACTTGGGACATTTTTAGGTAAACAGATGCACCTTGAGACCATAATTTTAAGCGAAATAAATCAAAAACACATGTTTAAATATCATATTATTTCTCTTGTATGAGAAAACAAAAGCATAAATAAGGATGAAAATGGATGATAAGTATTGGGAAATAGAAAGAAAAAATTCAAATGGGAAGTGAAGGGAGTAGGGAAAGGGAAGAAAGGGAAAAGGAAATTAAGAGAAGGGAAATGGAAACGAAGCTTTTGTAAGTAAAGAGGATAAGAAAAGTTGAAGGGAGGGGACTGGAGTGTGGAAGTAAAGAAAAATCAAGATAAAACAAATTTCCTATGAAAATTGTGATCATCAAGTACATCAAAACAGTACCAATGAAATTAATTTTAACAACCTGTTTACTGAAATAATAGCAGAAAACTCTAAACAAAGGAAAAGAATTTAGCAGGCAGATCAATGAGGCTTGTAGAATCCCACATAGTGATAATCAGAAAAGAATGTCTCCATACGGGCTGGAGATTTAGTTCAGTGGCACAAGTGCCTGCCCAGCAAGTGTTTGTTTGTGAGTACAATACCCAGTACAAAAAAAAAAAAAAACTTCTCCATGGCATATCATAGTCAAACCTCCAGAAGCCCTAACACAAGAACTGAATCTTAAAAGTAGTTAGAAAAAGCAATGAATCCCTTACAAAGTAAACTCATTAAAATTACAAGATTTCTCAACACAAACCTTAAGGGCTGAGAGTTTGGAGGGAAGTGTTTCAAGCCCTAAAAGAAAACTATTTCTATCACAGAGTAATGTGTCCTGCAAAATTGTCTTTCAAAATTGACAGAGAAATAAGATATTTCCATGATAAAGAGTACTTCCAGCATGGCAAACATGAAGTCATGAGTTTAATCCCTGGTACAAAAAAAAAAAAGAAATACTTCCATAAATTCATGACCTCAAAACCAGGACTCCAAAAAAACTCTCAGAGATACCCTAGGAAGAAACAGTGAAGGAAACAATGCCAAATAGTCTAAAAGAATGAGCACGCCAGGTAGAATAACCAATTAAGTAGAAGAGAAAAATATAACATCAGATGCAGGAAAATAAGGCAATGGTAGGAAAGAGTAAATACTTTCCAGTAATAACTGTCAGTGGAAATAGTTTTAATGCCTCAAGCAAAAGACACAGATGGTGCCAATGGCAGAGGGTAAGCAGCAGAGGAAGATCCTCTCTGAGATCTGGTGTCCACACACTGGAATACAGCAATGTGAGGACTAGAAAGGAAGTGGGTTCCCAGCCCCAGGAACGATCTGAAGTGAGAACTGAGGCCCAAAGGGAGAGTGAAGTGTCGATGTCGCTCCCGGCCGGCAGGAAGGACACACGACAAAGTCTGGCAGTGGACAACCTTTTTTTTTATTTTCTCTCCGTACAGCCTGCCCTGGGATCGCTCCCAGCCGAAGCCTCCTCTGGTCCGCTCCCCGCGGCTCCTTCCGTGCTTTGCTCCGAAGCCTCTACCGGTCCGCTCTCCGCGGCTCCTTTCGGGCTTCGCTCCGAAGCCTCTACCGGTCCGCTCTCCGCGGCTCCTTCCGGGCTTCTACTTCCCCCCAGGGGTGGCACCAGTATATATACGGATACAGTGTCCAATCATGTTAAAGTAAGCAAGGCAAGCTGATTGGCTAACATATTATTGAGCGGGTTGTTTACGCGGTAAGCAGGAAACTAACGTGCTCGATGGGAGGGGTAATCTAACTCAGGCTTTACTCTTTACCACAGGCCGCATGATCGCTATATGCGGCGGCTCGGCAATGTGGTGGCTCCCAACATCTCCCCCTTTTTTATTTTAAATAAGTCTATGCATCGCAGCCCGTCCTGAATTGAGTGTAGAGGCCTGTGCCCTGATAGGAGGCCCACCAAGGGCTCTCGGCGTCGGCCCGGGTCGGCCGTCCCCGAGTCTGCCGAGGCCCCGAGGCCCTCGTCCTTTTTCCAGGGCCAGGAAGGAACCGGACGGAACCTGGATGCACACAGGCATACACTCATGTCGCTCCGCATGATCCCCCCGGGGCGACATTTGGTTTGGGCGAAACCTAGTAATTTAGCGGCTTTTGTGCGGTATGGGGTAGGGCCTGTCTTAGGTTGAGTCATGCTGGGGAGGCATGCTCTTACCCGTCATTGACTCATCTACCCTGCTATATCATAATTTTTTAGAGGAGGAGTGTGGGAAGCTCACCGTCCCTAGACTCGGTCGTAGGCTAGGCGAGCGAGCCATGCATATGCCTGAGGATCTTTTTGTCCATTTTGGGCTACCGCTATTTTTATTCATCTTGTTGGTTGGTCTGTGATGGATCTCCGGTAGGGCAGGTCTGATCTTTAGTCGAGGGCTTTGTCGCCCGTGTCAGTCTCTCCGGTACCCACAGTGGTTCTCGTCCCGGTTCCTGTGGGAAGACACAAACCGCACCTCGGTTCCAGCTGATTACCGGATCTGGGCCCATCCATTGTCATGCCATAGATAACCGCGCCTTTGGAGGCAGGCCTTGGCTTACTCCCCCTTTTTGTTTTTTATTTTTTATTTTTTATTTTTATCTTTTTAGTTTTTTTTTTTTTTTTTAATTGGTACCAGGGATCGAACTGGCGATTGCCTGCTTACAAGGCAGGCGCTTATGCCGCTAAGCTAAATCCCCAGCCCCTCTTTCCTCGACCGGCGTTTTTTTTAGCCTGCTCTGCAGAGAACTCTGTGTACCAGGCTCGCCAATCCAGGTAACTACCCGAGGGCAGACACGCCTTTGCCAGCTGAATCCAGTCCGCGGGGGTGAGGGGCCCAGAAGACAGGTTCTCCAGCATGGCAATGGTGTAAGGCGCAGTCGGCCCAAAGGTTGTAACTGCATTTTTAAGTTCTCTAATCTGCTTTATCTCAAAAGGCTCCCATGCATTACGTCCCTGGCCCATAGCTACTTGTACAGGAAATATCCCGTAGGGGCCACTATCTATCCCAGGTGGTGGATGTACCTCATGAGACAAACGTCCCCCCTGCCAAAGCCGCCTGTAAAAATACCGACCCGCCGGCGGCGGAGCATAAGACGGCGGCCGTGATTGGGCGGAAAATGGGGGCCCGTGCATCACTTCCTGTTTTGGCGAAAGGGGAGGGAGCTCCCATGCGGCCGCCTCGTGGCGAGGGATCGCTTCCGGGAACAGCCCCCAAGGTGGGGCGGAAGGCTTCGCCTCCCTCTCGCGCCAGGGGGCGCTCAGGAGCTCTCTACTCCTCCACAGACCAAGTTGAGCGGAGCGCAATTTGCGGCGCAACGCTGGGAAAGAACCCTGCGACTCCTTATCGAGCGGCCTATCCTCTTGGCATCTAGGCTCCTTGGTCTCATCGTTGTCTAAGCCTTCCTCGTTCTCGGAGTCAGACGACTCCGAGGCCTGAGCCCCGTCTTTCTCCTTTATATCTTTGTCTCCTTTGACGGACCCCTCCCGGGAGCTCCCTGACTGGGCCTGTTCGAATGCCCTACGCACTTTAATGAGCTCTTGAGAACCTTCCCTGCAACCACCCTCGCTCTTCAAGCATGCATATATCATTTCCCACAGTGGCCGAGCGAAGACCGAAGCCCCGCCCTCCCTTTCCGCTAGAGAAAAATCCCTGCCCAACTTCTCCCACGAGGGCAGGTTTAAGTGCCCTGTGGGCAAGAACCAGGGAGCGAAACTATCAATCTCCTCAAAAAAGCTCTCCAGCGTTTTGCGTCCCACCTTGAGGTCTCTGGACTTTAAGAGCTTCCGGAGGACCTGTACCAAGGGCTGGGTGTCGTTACTCGGTACGTTACCCATATTTAATATGTTACTCACCGCGTGAGGCCCCAAAATCCGCCACTTACGCGTGAGCCTGAGGGGAGTCTAAAAACCCTGTAGGTGCGCGCCACCCAGGGCCCAGGTTTATCCCCTGCTCACCTGTCTCGCAGTGCTGTATCAAGGAACGTTGTCCACTACCACGTCTCGGGGGTGATCAGTTGTTCCCCGTACGGGCCACCAAATGTCGATGTCGCTCCCGGCCGGCAGGAAGGACACACGACAAAGTCTGGCAGTGGACAACCTTTTTTTTTATTTTCTCTCCGTACAGCCTGCCCTGGGATCGCTCCCAGCCGAAGCCTCCTCTGGTCCGCTCCCCGCGGCTCCTTCCGTGCTTTGCTCCGAAGCCTCTACCGGTCCGCTCTCCGCGGCTCCTTTCGGGCTTCGCTCCGAAGCCTCTACCGGTCCGCTCTCCGCGGCTCCTTCCGGGCTTCTACTTCCCCCCAAGGGTGACACCAGTATATATACAGATACAGTGTCCAATCATGTTAAAGTAAGCAAGGCAAGCTGATTGGCTAACATATTATTGAGCGGGTTGTTTACGCGGTAAGCAGAAAACTAACGTGCTCGATGGGAGGGGTAATCTAACTCAGGCTTTACTCTTTACCACAGGCCGCATGATCGCTATATGCGGCGGCTCGACAATGTGGTGGCTCCCAACAGTGAAGAGAGAAACGTTAATGAAGAAATAGGTGGCAGGAAGCACTTTCTCCTGAGCTCAGATTTGCTGTGTGGGAGGGGTAGCTGGAGCCTATAGGTGCGTGGTGACTACCTGTAACCCCAGAGGCCTCCACAGGGAAATGCACGAGTGGAATGCAGAAGTGGACACAGTGCAGTGGAGTTGCACTGAGCTATTTCAGTTCAGATATTGTGCAAGATATGCTGATTAGCTAGTTTAGAGAGAGGCCAACTGAACTTGGAGCTCAGAGCAACTGCAGATTTCACCTAGCGGCTTCCAGCTGACTTCAGAGTGATAGGAGGTGCATAGACTGGTGCAGAATAATCAGAAACCAGTCTGAATTTCAGTGGAAATAAAGCTGCAGGCTTACCGAGACTGCCCACTCGCATGCCATAAAGCTTCTGCTGGCTCGCTGGAATTAATCAACATGAGTTTGGACTCTGTCTGCCCTTAGTGTCTACCAGTGACATCAGAAACACACCTTGAAGAGGACATTAGTTTTTTTTTTCTTTTTTTTTTGTATTTTTTCTTGTTTTTATATATATGAACATGGCTTCTAGTTTTGTTGTTGTTCTGTTCTGATTTTG